CACCTGTGATTAAGGGGTAGAGTGCAATTCTGGAGCCCAGAATTCAGAACAAAATAGGATCAGGACAGGAAAGTGAACTATCAGAACACAAGCAGCTATTGAGGCCATCCATGACAGATGGTCTTTTGAGGGATTTCCAAAGCTAAGTCTTCAAAAGGGAAGAATGGGAATCTCTTGTGAAATTTCAATATTTGGTGACCTACACAGTCCTAACACTTGGGGGTTGGGTTCCTGAAAAATCCATGGGATCTGTCTTGTCCACATTTGCCACCTGACATGCTCTGTGGTGTTCAATCACAGTGTCTGTTAACTATATTTAGCTCAGGTTAACTTTGGATATTATAATACATGTTGTAAATATATATTGCATTACTGTTTTAACTTCGTAAAAAGTAAAGTTTATTGTGTTTTGTATCATGAAATCTTATGGTTTTGTCTCATAGCAAGTACCTGAGTTATCACACTTTGTCTACTTTTTAAACAACAACAGCACAGTGGCTCATTGCTGTCTCACAGCACCAGGAACCCGGGTTCAATTCCACCTTCGGGCGACTGTCTGCGTGGAGTTTGCACATTCTCCCAGTGCCTGCGCGAGTTTCCTCCGGATGCTCCGGCTTCCTCCCACATCCAAAGATGTGCAGGCTAGGTGGATTGGCCATGCTAAACTGCCCGTAGTGATCAGGGATGTGTAGATTAGAGGGAAGGGTCTGGGCGGGATGCTCCGAGGGTCAGTGCGGACTTGTTGGGCCGAAGGGCCTGTTTCCACACTGTAGGGATTCTATGAAGTTACTGGTCCTAAATCAGATTCTAACAAATTTAGCAGTCTGGTCTGAGATCATAACACATTGAACTGGTAATTCAAAGGACCAGGGTAATGCTTGGGGGAATTGGCTCAAATCCCAAAGACAGATGGTGAAATTTCAATTCAGTTATTAAATATGGAATTAAAAGCTAATGTAACGGTAACCATGAAACTACTGCCAATTGTTGTAAAAATCCATCTATTTTTGGCCCTTCGTGTGACTCCAGACCTACAGCAATGTAGGCAGTTCTTAAATGGTCTCTGAAACAGCCCAGTAAGCTACTCAATCATACAATAAAACGAAAAAGTCAGGAAAAGAAACAAAACCAGATGGACTACCTGGCATTGACCACAGCAAAGCCACCCTGTCAACCCTACAAAGTTCTCCTTACTAACATTTAGGGACAACTGCCAAAATTGGACCTTCCTCTATAATGAACATATTCTATTAATTTCACATTATTCACTCTCCAGAGGATTAACACACTTCTTTTTAAAAGTACTTCCTGTTGTCCCTATAGGGTTCATATGTACTATAAAAGTGTACAGTCGTTGAATGGACATGGAAGAGCTATGTGGCATGTAATGTACGAAAAGATCAAGGAATTGGGTGGGGGCAGAACTTGGCATGGAGGGCAAGTATGAAACGTTTCACACTTACTTTGCATAAGGTTCCCTCAGGCAGGCAACGGTTCACAACCTCCGAGGTGCCATGAATCACAAATCTTTTAAACGCCTGCCTTATTCCATGAAAATTGCAGAAGACAAGGAGCTGTCTATCCCCTGCTACTCAGCCAGCAAGACTGGGAGTGCAAGGTGTGGGCTTGCCAATCGGAACCAGCTCATACCCTTAAATGGGGCTCATGAAAATATGGGGCTGGAAATCCTGGCATTATATCCTAGCCACCATTTTCACCCCTCCACAAAGTTTTCCAAACTGTGCAGATCATGCTGTCAAATTCTGAGTTTATACACAAAGTGTGGCCAGTGCTGAAAACATTTGTAGGTCTATAAGCATACAGTGAACCAGCCCTCATATATGGTATAATTAGTTCAAAGCAAATTTGTGCAAATAGAAACTTATAGAAATTGTTAAAGACATGAAATATTAAAATTAAATGAAGTATAGTAGAATAAAATGAAATGCATAATTTTCACTTCCGTGCACCTGTGAGTTTTATAATAGATAAAGTATATAAAAGAGCACAAACAAAGGGCTGTTTTTAACTTGCACAACCGCTATTCCAGGATCCCTGGTGATGTTCCATCACTGGGGAATTTCTGTTACGGCTGGACCCAGCTTTACTCGGGCACAGGTTACAGCTTGAGAATCTCATTGTCCCAAAAGGTTCGCATGCAAATGAAAACATTAAAATGCACTCTCAATGGCAAAGCAATTTTATTTATTGGCTGCAAACATCAGTCAACTAGTGAAAGTATTCAACTTACCCCCAAGGATTTTATCTAGGACTGGAAAGTTGAACCTTCTACCTCCCACAACCAGCTCAATTTCTAAATAGTACTCTTCCATTCCGATACAAACATCATTACCCTGTCCATATCGGGGAGGCATGTGGTATTATCGCTGGACTGTTAATCCAGAGATCCAGATAACGTTCTGGGGACCCCGGCTCAAATCCCTCCACGGCAGATGGTGGAATTTAAATTCAAAAAATATCTGGAATTAAGAATCTCATGATGACTGTGAATCCATTGTTGATTGTTGGAAAAACCCATCTGATCACTAATGTCCTTACCTCGTGTGGCCTACATGTGACTCCAGACCCACAGCAATGTGGTTGACTCTTAACTGGATTGGCGATAAATGCTGCCTAGCCAGCGACACCCTCATCCCACCAATGAATAAAGAAAAAAATATACAAAGCTGCACACATACGGGTGTGCAGTAAACTAATCCTTTTTAATTCTACTGTGCATTGTAAAATTGCAGAAGCCAACATAAATAACATACAACCTGTTAGATAACAGACAACAATTGGATCAATATGGCCTCAGATAGAAAAACGGCCCAAGTTGTTTCAGAGGAGCATAAATGAACAAAGTTGACACTGAACTAATGGAGAAGATACAGAGAGAGATTGAACGTTTGGCCGAAGAGTCTGGTTTCAGGGAGGCACAATGGCTCAGTGGATAGCAGTGCTGTCACACAGCATCAGCGATCCGGGTTTGATTCCACCCTCGGGCGACTGTCTGTGTGGAGTTTGCACATTCTCCCTGCGTCTGCATGGGTTTCGTCCGGGTGCTCCAGTTTCCTCCCACAATCCAAAGATGTGCAGGATAGGTGGATTAGCTATGCTAAATTGCCTATAGTGTCCAGGGATGTGTAGGCTAGGTGAATTAGCCATGAGAAATGCAGGGTTACAGGGATAGGGTCAATCTGGGTGGTATGATCTTCGGACTGTCGTTGTGAATTCAATGAGCCGAATGACCTGCTTCCACACTGTAGGGATTCTATGATTCTAGGAAGCATTTTAAAGGGGAAGGGGAAGGAAGGAAGAGAGAGAAGGAAATCAAGAATGTACAACCATATCAGGTGAAAATACAGATACAGCAGAGAAGCAAAAGGACTGGGAGATTCACAAGATCAGAACTGAAGTGACACAGAATTCCCAAACAGATTGCGCATTTCAGAAATAAGGAAAAAAAACAGTTAAGGAGTTGGGGAATAAAGGTCACAATCTTAGGTCATATAAAGCCTGAACATAGTTAATATTTCGTTAACGAAATACTGCAGACACCTGGAAATCTGACATGAAAGGTGACGTTCCTTCCTAGGATGTAGTAGATTTATGTTGTGGGGGTGACAACGGATCATGGTGATGTTATTAGGCTAGTAATCCAGAGACTCAGGCCAGAATCCCACTGCCATAGCTGGGAGCATTTGAATTCAATTAAAGGAATCTGGAATGTTAAGTTTGTCTCAGTAACGGTGCCATGAAACAACTGTCAATTGTCTGACAAATAATATCACTAAATTCTGAAAATCTGCCATCCTTACCTGGTCTAGCCTACACTTGATTCCTAATGTCTTCTGTAACAGCCTAGGAAGCCACTAAATTCAATTGCAATTAAAAGTAACAGCCATCATTTAGCAATCCACAACCCGTGAATGAATAAACAAAGAGTTCTCGTGGTGCACTCTGATTTGCTAAACTTGGGGGATCAGAGTTGCTTCTTGCTGGGTGGAGATCAGCATGTATCATGGGTAGGTATCTGGTAATGTTAAACAATGTCACATTTTTGAATGCCTAAATAGTTGGGAAAAGAACTTTCCATCTATTTTCTCCCCTAATTAAACTGGGATTTTAGTCTGGTTTTTATTCCTCCAAGAAGATTACAGGGTTTCTGGTTGGGATAGAGAGAATTTACATTGAGATGAACAATAGAGAGGGGCAGAATGAATGAACCCATAGTTTCCTTCATCGTTTTGTTCATCTAAGAAGAGACAGATAAGGTTATCCGAGACAACAAGAGCTCCTATGATACTGCTTGGCCTGCTGTGTTCATCCAGCCCTGCACCTTGTTGTCTCGGATTCTCCAGCATTTGCAGCTCCTACTATCTCAGATAAGGTTATGTTTGTTTTCCAAGATGAACTTGGAATATGAATCAGTTTTAGCTAAGGAAGGATATGCCTGATAGTCCTAGATGTGGACAAGTAAGATCCAGCAATAGATAAATCAAGCAGTTGCAAAGCAGCAAAGTACAAGGGGTACAGACTTGACGACAAGGGAACTAAATAAAGGCCTTACCGAGGGAATGGCCAGAATGGGAAAGCATAATGGCTTTACTGGGGACAAATGTTACCCAAAGCTGGAGGTGAAGAAATAGCTAAGCAAATTGATAATGGCTGAAATGTGATAGAAAGCAAAATAATTGGCAGTTGGAAGTGACTCAGGAGAAGAGTCTATTCCGAGACATACCTAATAATGGAAAAGGGTAAGCGACTTTTTTTCTTTTACCTGGCATTGTACAACTTGTATGCTTGTAGGTGCTAATGCAGAGACAAATACCCTATAAATTAACATGTGGGACTATACTGTTCCCTTTTAAGTAGTGTGCATCAAACAGGATATTGCACTGCTTCCTTAATTCCCCTGTTTCCTGGGGGTTTTCTGCCTCCTGTTTCTTTTAAAACTCACAAAACTGCTGACAATAACACCACGTGGCCCCAAATACCTGTTTGCCACATCCATGTCTGACTCGATCTTGTCCAGCCCTTTCATGATGCGATCAAACTGCTCTCCCTGATGAAGCAAGACTTTTGCCGTGTCTTCCAAGCGTTGGTGGGAGCTGGAAGCCAAGTGGATAAGCTGCTTTCCCTTGGATGTGCGATCAGGGCTGGCCTCTACTTCCACCCCTTCCGACGAAAGCAACTGTGCTTGCCAGAAGTGCTCGATTACGTTAAACACCACTGTCCGATTGGGTTGCAGTGAGCTGAACCAGTGCTTCTCATTGCCATTTACCAGCACGGTGAGTGAGCTGAATATGAAGCTGGATGCCTCCTTCTTGATGCTGGTGATGGCAGAGAGCTTGAAGCTGGTCAGCGTAAGCCCCTCCTTGTCGGATGTAAATGCCAATTGGCCTGGTGTGAGCGACAGTTTGCCATAAACCCATCGTTTCTCACTGTCGAGATAGTATGAACCAGGCCAGGAATGGATGCACAAGTTTTTATTCATCACAGCAGCACTCGTCTCTCCCAGCAGGTGTGTGTGTTGATAAATCGATGGAAACCTAGGAATGCATTGGGCAAGTGAAGGGAACGTTTAGTTAGGCTTCAGCAGAAGAAATCATAGATCACGTTAAAAGGCAAAGCATTAACATCAGAAGCCTGGATAAAGTAGGATTGATTAAAGCAATTATACAAATTCTCTCAAAAGAAATCTTAATCCAAAATTTCTGAGGTGGAGGTACTTTTCCACAGCAAAAAGCAGCTACTGTAATTTAAGTAAATAAATTTAATTACTTTAGCATCGGGTCATTTGCCAATTTAAACAGGCCCATGAAACAAATCTGCACCATCTACGAAGCTGAGTGACCTCTTTCTGGGAGGAGTCACAAGACTGAAAAACAATTTTAGAAACATCAAAAAGCTAACGCTGACATAAATTTGCCTCATTTTGAAAGATCTGCTTCACCTTTTCACTATGTCTTTCAATTCCTTTCCACTGCAATATTTCTAAAGTGTCCCAAATATTTTTGTACTGTCCACTTCAATGGCGGTTTCTAACAATCTTCAAGTTTCTCCACCACCCAACGAGTCAGTCATCTAATTTTCTCCAACGATGGGCGTTTGTGCATTACCCCCTCCCTTCAACCCATTATTGGTGACAGTGCACTGAATTATTTAAAATTATTTCCTGGAATCTCCCCAATTCACTCAACTGCTAAGATTTTCTTTAAAATCAGCCTCTTTTAACTACCACTGCAAATTATTACTTCTTAGCTCTATGCCAATTTCTGTCCAATTTACATATTGACAATTATACAACACCTTAGTAAATGTAGGTTATATTTGTGAACTATTGCATTACCAAAGTACTCTTTGAGAGAGAATAAACCACTTAGGTTCTTGTCTGATTAACCAACTTATTTATCTCACATCTCAAATATTTGATTTTAAACACATCATTTCAGTCAAGTTCCTTCATGTCTTGAAAGCTTCATTAAATCTGCAAAAGTCCTTTCCCTAATCCTTGCAATCATTCCTATTGCTCATCTCGGTGTTAAGAGCAACAATTTCCTTTTTATAAATATAGTAAATTCGTATTTAGTGCAGTTTGTATATATGTCAACACAAATGGTACTTTATACATGTTTTAATAGAATATAATCGCGCAGGGCTTCGCAGGAGTGTGAAAAAGCAAAATCTGATACCGAGAGTCATGATGAGGCAGATGATCGAAAGCTTGGGAATGAGGTAGGTTTTAATGAGTTTTGCAAAGAAGGGATGGAAGATCAAGAGATTTAAGTGAATGTCACATGTTGGCCCTGGAAAATTGAAGGCACAACTGACAGTGGGCTGAGCAAATAAAATCAGGAACCACAAGTTAGAAGAGCATAGATGTCTCAAGAGGGCAGTGAGGCTGGAGAACATTACAGAAAACGAAAGGAGGCCATGACGGATTTAAACAAGGATGGAAATTTTTAAATCGAGAAGTTGATCAATCAAGAGTTTGATCGATGTAGGTCAGTGAGCACAGGGTTCACTGGTGAGCAGGGACTTTTGCAAGTTAGGAGGACACAAGCAGCAGAGTTTTTGACAATCTCAAATTTATTCAGAGTAGAATGTGGGAAGATGGCCAGGAAAGTCATGCCGAGAGCTAAGACATGAATGAGGGATTTATCAGATGAGCAAAGGCAGGGGTGTAGTATGACGATGTTACTGAGGTGAATAAGCAGTGTTCTTGATGGTGCAGATGATCAGAAGCTCATCTCTAGGTCAAACAGGACATCGAGGTTAGAAATGGTCAAGGTCAACTTTGGACAACTGCCAGGTAGGAAACTAAAGAATGGAATTTATAGTGGGGACCAAAAGGAGTGGCTTCAGCATTCCCAATATTTAGTTGGCGGTAGTCTTTGCTCACACAGTACTGCATGTCAGGTAAGCTGGATGTACTGAGATGGAACAGTTAAGGGTGGAAGTGGTGAGGAGTGCTGGATTTCATAAGTTCATGGAAAAAATGGCACCATGTTTTCAGATGATGTTGCCAAGAAATAACAGATAGATGAGAAATAGAAAGGGTACAAGGATAGATCCATGGGGGATGAGAGAATTAATAAGAGTAGGAAGAGAAGCCTTTGCAGATGATCCTCTGATTAAAAGGATGGAGTTAAGATTGAAGATCAGCTATGATCTTGCTAAACAGCAGAGCTGACTAATAGAGCCAAATGGCTTACTCCAGCTCTTAGTTTGCTTGATCCTTTATTCTTTCATGGAACATTAGCATCACTGACAAGGCTAGCATTTGAAACCCACATTGCCCTTAAACTGAGTGGCTTGCTAGGCCATTTCAAAAAAAAAATCAACTGCATTGCTATAGATCTGAAGTCACACATAGGCTAGACCAGATAAGGACAGCAAGTTTCCTTTCCTAAAGGAGAAGACCCAAAGACTTTAGAACAAGAGTAGGCCATTCTGCCTCTCAAGCCTGCTCTGCCATTCACTACAATCATGGCTGATCCAACATACCTCACATGCAATTTCCTGCCCTTTCCGTGTAACCTGTGATTCCCCTACTGATCAAGAATCTATCTGCCTCAGCCTTAAAATATACTCAAGATTCTGCCGCACAGCTCTCTGTGGCAAGGAGTTTCAAAGATTCACTACTCTCAGAGAACAAATTCTTCCTCATCTCAGTCTTAAATTGGACCCCTTTATTCCGCAACCTTGCCCTCATGTTAATGAAGCAGACGGGTTTTTACAACAAGTGATGATAGTTTCACGGTCACCAGCTGTTCTGTAGCAGGAGTAGAAACCTGACTGGAGGATTTCAAACAAGGTATTCCAGGAAACATGGCCAAAAATTTGAGGGGGGGCACACATTCAAGGCCTCTGGAGAAGAATGGAAGCTTTGAGATTTACAGTAGTTTGCTCTGACTGTAAGGTCATGGATCAGCATTCTGGAGATCAGGATGATGGTGGTGGATTCCCAGAAGCAAAAAAAGTACTGGTGAGTGAGATTTCCTGGCCTGAATCATTTTGTGCACTTCAAAATATACATGCAGGATGACCATTGTGTTCTTTATTTAAGTAGCTTTTGTTTGAAACTGTTTGATCTTGTTTGAAGATCGAGTCAATACCTGGAAAAAACCATTAAACATCAACCACTACAGCAGGCAGATGGGCTTCAGTTTAACATCTCATGCAAAAGACGAGACATCTGACAATATAGGGCGCCCTCAGTGCACTGGGACTACAGGCTTCATTTTTAGTCTCACTCTAGAGTGGGACTTTGAACCCAAAACCTCACAGGCAAGGACATTAATAATTACATCACGGCTCACACTACAACAGAGCAGTTAAGTGTTAACCATAAGCAAATAACCATCAAGGAATTAGCTTTACATATCATTTGTTCCACTTAACAATCCTCCTCAGAGTTGATCTCTTAAAACTTTTCCACTGTTCCACTTCAGTCCAGTAAGTCTAAATCTTTAATGAAAACACCAGAAAATAGTTTACAAGGATTTAGCCTTTTATTCCTTCTTCTTTTTCTCGTTTTACAACCGTAAGTTATACCAACCACCCCAGCAAACCGAGAAATATAAAAAACAAGTGGGACAGAACACCAATGCTTCACTGGAGGCGCACTGATGATGTTACCTAGCAGGCTGACGAAACGTTTGCAACCAAACCCACCGGCTCGGCAAGCATGTCTACAACCTCATCCACAACCCGATCTACAAATCTTCTCAAACTTTAAACCAGTGACCATAATTCTATTTGTTTTCAAATAATTATGGAAAAGGATAGGCCTGGTCTACAAGCTGACGTTCTAAACTGGGGCAAAGCGAATTTTGATGGTATTAGACAGGAACTTTCAAAAGTTGATCGGGGAAGGCTGTTCGCAGGCAAAGGGACGACTGGCAAGTAGGAAGATCTCAAAAGCAAGATAACAAGAGTCAGAGCCAGCATGTTCCTGTTAGTGTGAAGGGCAGGGCTGGCATGAGAAGGGAACACTGGATTAATTCTTGACCAGAGTCACAATATACAAGGAGGAAGCACATGTCAGATATAGACATCTGGGAATCCCTTCAGGAGTATTGGGGTGGGTGTATACTCAAGAGGAAAATTAGGAGGGAGAAAAGGGAGCATGAGACACTATTGGCAGATAAGGTTAAGGAGAATCTAAAGAGATTCTATAAGTGTATTAAGGGCAAAAGAGTAATGGGGCAGCAAATAGGGCCCCTGAAAGTCAATGAGGCCATCTATATATGGAACCATAGGAGATGGGTAAGATCCTAAACAACCATTTCAGCACTTACCGTGGAGAAAGACATGGAAGCTAGAGAACTCAGGAATATAAACAACAATGTCTTAAAATGCATAAAGGTAGATAAATCCCCGGGACCAGTGCCATTATTTAAGAAAGGCTGCAAGGAAAAGCCAGGGAACTACAGACGGTGAACCTAATGTCAGTAGTGGGTAAGCTGCTAGAAGGCATCCTAAGAGACAGGATCTACATGCTTTAGAAAGGAAAGGACTGATTAGGGATAGCATGGCTCTGTGAGTGGGAAATCATTTCACAAACTTGATTGATTTTTTTGAAGAGGTGACCAAGAAGATAGATAGATGGTGGTGGAGCGGTAGACATTGTCTACATGGACTTTAGCAAGGCCTTCAACAGTGTTCTGCAGGATAGACTACTTAGTAAGGTTAGACTACATGAGATCCAGGGAGAGCTAGCCAATTAGATACAGAATTGGCTTGACAGCAGGAAACAGACAGTAGTGGCAGAGGATTGTTGTTCACTGAAGGCCTGTGACCAGCAGTGTGACGCAAGGATCGATGCTGGGTTTACTGTTGTTTATCATTTAAATAAACAATTTGGATGAGAATATAGGAGGCATGGTTATAAGTTTGCAGGTGACACCAAAACTGGTGATATAGTGGACAGCAAGAAGGTTATCAAAGATTACAATGGGATCTTGATCAATTAGGCCACTGGACTGATGAATGGCAGGTGGAGTTTAATTTGGATAAATGCGAGGTGTTGCATTTTGGTAAGGCAAAGCGAAGCAGGACTTATGCACCTAATGGTAGGGCCCTGGGAGCATTATCGAACAAAGATACCTAAGGATGCAGGTCCATAGTTCCTCGAAAGTGGCATCATAGATAAACAGGGTGATGAGGAAGGCATTTGGCATGCTTGCCTTCAATGGTCAGAATATTGAGTACAGGAGTTGAGAAATCATGTTACAACAGTACAAGACACTGGTACAAACACATTTTGAGTGCTGCACACAATTCTGGTCATCTTGCTATAGGAAGGATGTTACTTAACTGGAGAGGGAGCAAAAAAGATTTACAAGAATGTTACCGAGACTGAAGGGCTTGAATTATAAGGAGAGGATAGATACGCTGTGAATTTTTTCCCCTAGAGTATAGGAGGCTGAGAGGTGGTCTTATAGAGGTTTATAAAATCATGAGGGGCAAAATAAGGTGAATCTTTTCCCCAGGGTAGGAGAGTCCAGAACTAGACAGCATGGGTTTCAGGTGAGGAGAAAGATTTAAAAGGGACCTGAGCAGCAAACTTTTCACACAGAGGGTGGTACATGTATGAAATGAACTGCCAGAGGAAGTGATAGAGACAAGTACAATTACAACATTTAAAAGAAATCTGGGCAGGTACATGGATAAGAAAGGTTTAGAGGGACATGGGCCAAACTCAGGCAAATGGGACTAGTTCAGTTTAGGAAACCTGATCTGCATGGATGAATTAGGCTGAAGGGTCCGATTCCATTCTCAATGGCTGTACGACTCGATCCTGTGTCTCCTCAAGCATCAGTCTTGCCATCGCAGGAATCAGTCGAGTAAACCTTGATTGCTCTCCCTTCATAGCCAGAACATCCTTCTTCAGGGAAGGAGACTAGAACTGTACACAACACTCCAGGTGTGGTCTCACCAAGATACTGTACATTTGCAGCAAGATGTCCCTACTCCTGGACTCAAATCCTCTCACTGTGAAGGCAAACAGACCATCTAGCTTCTTCACCACCAGCAAGCTTATTTTCAGCAGTTTCCTTTGGAACTTCACAGGCTGGAATAGAACACTTCTTTGCAAATAACGCTCTTTAAATCTTTCAGTCTGCTAACCTATAAGCATCTGTTTGACTAACTTATGTTGTATTCCAACTCATTTTCCTTTCTGTATTTCTTGGCACATTCTGCATTACTTGACTTGTTTTCTTCTGCTATATTCCCCGGGGTTTTATTGTGGCGCTAGTATTTTTTTAATTTTCCCTCCACTTTTGGTGACTCATCTATGTCGCTCTCTCAATTTGCTCGATATCCAGTGCACTTCTATCAACATATTCCCTGTTCCCCAATACTTCTCCATGTCAGGAGCTATTCTATCCGCCTGCAACCGTCTCCTCTCGCATTGCAGCAGAATTTATCTCTGGACATTCTTTCGGACAATATTTACTTAGCCCAGGGTCTGATCTCTCATGCAGGATTCCTTTCAAGAGATGTTATTATCCCCGCAAGACTTATCTCAAGATGTTTCTCTCCTCAGGGATTTATCACATTTCCCTCCTGCAAAATTTGTCCTCAAATAACCTGCTTTCTCCTGCAAGATTTGTACCAGGAGATTCTCTCTCACTCCGCAGAACCTGGCAGCCTGGAATCCCCCACTCTCTATGTCCCAGACACTACTGCTCCCTCACAATGTAACAGGACTGTGGCACAGAGCTCAGGCCCTCGCTGCCTGCAATACTCACGCCGTTTCCTCCGTTTCCCCAGTCTCAGGTCCTTCCCATTTCTCCGGGCAGCTAACCGAGAGCTCGCATCGCTCGCTAACTCCACTCGAGGTTTGTCTCTAAACAGAGCTCCACCTCCAGCTGGCCTTCCTCAAGCTTCCTCCTGTCAGCTCCTGTACGACACTGTCATTCACTGACCCCACACCCTTCCTATCCACTGTCAATCACACACTGACCCCACCCCTTCGCCTAGCCTGTCAATCACA